CCAATCAGAGCAGACTGGGCTCTGGTTTCAGACGGAGGGTGAAAAGAGGTGCTGCAGCACAGGAGACAAGTCACAGTAGAGACACTACATACTGATATACACCTGAACATCAGCAGGAGAGGACTCTTTAAAGTAGAGACACTACATACTGATATCAACCTGAACATCAGCAGGAGAGGACTCTTTAAAGTAGAGACACTACATACTGATATACACCTGAACATCAGCAGGAGAGGACTCTTTAAAGTAGAGACACTACATACTGATATACACCTGAACATCAGCAGGAGAGGACTCTTTAAAGTAGAGACACTACATACTGATATACACCTGAACATCAGCAGGAGAGGACTCTTTAAAGTAGAGACACTACATACTGATATACACCTGAACATCAGCAGGAGAGGACTCTTTAAAGTAGAGACACTACATACTGATATACACCCAACACTATGTGCAATATACTGTAAGTTCCATCACTGCAATACACTCGCTGCTATATATATAACTATGTGCAATATTATATTATATTATTATTATTAGTATTATTAATAATACTATGATAACGTGCAATTACGTAACTGCCACTACGTTTTAATTTTTGCACTATAACTACTAAATACTGCTAATAATAATTGCATTGATTGTTTTCCTGGCACAACAATTTCCTTCGGGATAAATAAAGTCTTATCTTATCTTATCTTATCTTATATATATTATTATATTCTACGGGGAAACGTGCATTCTGGTTTGAGGCTCCTGTTCCCCGGTTTAAACTAAACCCTGACAATCATTCCATATTCGTTCTAACTCGTTGTCCTGTGTCTCATCGTGCTGGCTGGAGGTCTAAACTCTGCTTAGAGAGTTTGCTCAAACCAATACCTTTTATTGTGCGTTATGGGTTTACCTTTTTAGAAATGTAGATATAGACACCGTAGATGCTAAACCCAGCGTGTGCATTATAGACCGCCCACCACCAGGTAAGGCTACATGAAGGGTTACACTTTAGATTTCTTCTTCATGTGTTTGCAGAGTATAACGGGTCACTTCAGTGAGGGTGGAGAGGACGAGGTGGAGGTCGGCTGCTCTCTGGAGAGAAACCGGTTCATTCTTCACCGAGCAGACGCAGGGCGGGGGGTCACTCTGAAGGTCAGACACTCCACATGTTAAATACAAATCATGATAATTCATTTGACCTTTTACTTTAATATTTAGCCCTCTATCTGTCATTTTACTACTTTATCTTTAATATTACCCCTTTTTGTAATTGTGTCCCTCATTTTGTCTTTATTGTTTATTCCTTGTTTAATATTTCGCCCCTCATACGCATCACTCTTTTTGTCCTTTCCCCCTCTATCTTTAATAATTACCCCTCCATCTCTAACCACCCTGTTGTCCTTTCCCTCCCAGAGGCACGCCTTCTGCCCCATCAAGCACCTGTCCGTCACAGAGAATGCTGCGCTCCCATTGGACGTTCAGCAGCGAGGAGTGGACGTGGCCGTGGCCACCATCCTGCAAACAGCCAATCAGAGGGTGTTGTTGACACGGCGTGCGAAGGGGCTCCGGATATTTCCCAACATCTGGGTTCCTCCAGGTCTCACACTCATCTGTTACAGGGCCAAGTGCATCATGGGAAATGTAGTGAAGCAGGATTTTTGGATTAAAATCTCAACATTTAAATTCTGCTTTTAATTTCTCTTCAGCTCTATAGTGCAGTACTTCAGAGTTAGCACTTTCAAACACATCTCATTTATATCTGTGTTTTTTTTGTTTCATTTTAACGTGTTTTTTTTTTTTATAGGAGGCCATCTCGAGCTGGATGAGACGGTGAATCATCTCTTTATGAACATGATTTGATATGACTTCTGCGTAGCTTTTCTCCTTCGTCTTTTTCACTGAGTTCAAAGTGTGGTTAATGTCAGATGAATGTGTGCAGCTGCTGGACGCCGGTCTCAGGGAGTTACAGGAGGAAACGGGGCTGAAGCTGGAGCCAGAGGAAGGTTCTCCAAACATCCTGGGACTCTGGGAGGTGACGCAGGACTCTTTAAAGTAGAGACACTACATACTGATATACACCTGAACATCAGCAGGAGAGGACTCTTTAAAGTAGAGACACTAATACTGATATACACCTGAACATCAGCAGGAGAGGACTCTTTAAAGTAGAGACACTACATACTGATATACACCTGAACATCAGCAGGAGAGGACTCTTTAAAGTAGAGACACTACATACTGACTGAACATCAGCAGGAGAGGACTCTTTAAAGTAGAGACACTACATACTGATATACACCTGAACATCAGCAGGAGAGGACTCTTTAAAGTAGAGACACTACATACTGACAT